GAAGCCCAGCAAACCACTGTAGGATCACCTGTGCCCAAGTTTACCTACCAGCCCCTCTTCTTCCTCCTCTTACTGTGCTCTTACTACGCTCATTCCAAGACAACTGGAGTGACATTGTCTAGATTAAGAACTGGTGGAACAGAAAGATCTCCTTCATTCAACTTCTTCCTCCCTCCCTTCTACTGTACTGCATCTCACTCCATAGTCTCAGACCAGACATAGTAAACAGAATAAGCACAGTGGAAAGACCCTACTCTTCTCTGACTGTGCTTTGTTTAATCGGGTTGCTAGGATTTCCTTACATGATCTTTGAGAAGCTTTCTGAAAAAACAAAAGGCACAGATGCAAAGGAATCTGGCAGGTTTGGGTTTTTTTTGGTGACACCTATGAGCTGGTTTGGCTTACTAATTCCTAACTGAAGAGGCTCAGCAATGTAGCTGCAGGGAAATGGAAGTCAATACTGTCAGCAAATTACCTTTGTCCTGGGGCTGTTTTACCTTTTGTAACCCTGGCTGGGTCCAGAAATACACACTAGTCTCTTACAAGCTTTCTTCTGCATCTCTCTGCACCTTACAACATTGTATGATTACATTTAGCCATTTCACATGGTAACGTTTTACTGAGGAGTCCCTTCTGATATCACCTTTTGTCACAGCAGCAATTTTAGTTAAACTTCCAATTTAAAATAAGCCTAGAAACTACAACACCCTTCTCCTGGGGCAGGTGATTCAACAAATAGTACAGACACTTAGACTATATTTACAGTGTGTGTGTATACACACACATACATCAACTACTATAATTTTTAATACTAAATTCTGTGTTTTTTCAATACATAACACAAAAGGTTTTTGACCAGAGGCACTCCCAGTCTAAACAGGCAGACAAAACCCAAAAACTAAACAAAGACTCTCTCTTACCCTGTGTTTTTACAAAACACGTAACCTTTTACTTGGATAGACTAGTGCCAGGGCCTCACAAAGAAAATAAGTGTTCAGGAGGGAATGGAGAAAGGGCAATTGCCTTCTTCAAAAGGATTGAGAAGGAATTCCAAGCATGAAGATCAAAATCAAAAGAAAACGGAAAAATGAGACAAAGTAGAAAGCCAGAATGTATTCATTATGTGTTTCAGTGAACTATCTCTGATTTCCTGTAATGCAATTGTAACTGCAAGAATGTTTATTTGCTAAAACATAGCCCAAGTCTCTAATCTATGAACTTCCATAACTAAAATTTGCGAACTACACATCTGAAAACAAAATATGCATTAACAGGCTTAAAATGCAAGTGAACCTACTGGAACTAGTGCATACATATTACATATGTAGATCTCAAACACAGTAATTTATTTTAAATTCACGATTTGGTCGTCACTGACTCAAACTGTCCTAAGTGCCACCTAGGTACTTGCCTCTGGCAGCATGCACACATAAATCTGTTCAAGTACTGACAGCATTGTTAGCTGAGGCCTCAGAAACCCAAAACCTGGATCCTCAAAATATGTATTACCATATTTATCTCATCAAGCAGTTCAATCTCCCTGGCAGACTCTGCGGACAGTCTCTTTTAAGAGATCAGTTGTTGAAATACTCTTGCCAGGGTATGACAGACCAAGGCAAACCACTAATGCCCATGCCAAGTTTAGCCTGACAACGAGGTAGTCTCTTCTAAAATACATTTGGCACTAATGCACCAATTATTTCCCATCATCCAACTGCACACCCTGACTCACGATAACGAGGAGACTGAGATGACCCCAGATACTACATAACACTTGGGCTGGTATAAAAGCAAACAAATATACTGGCTCCTTCATCAGCAGTTCCTGCCAGTCTATGATTTACACAGGCTGATCTGGCACACATTTATGTTCTTGTAAGCACTTTCTGTAGTTTTAGTTAAGTCACTTAACCTCTTGTCATCTATAAAAAGAGAATGATGGTATTAATATAGCATTACAGAAGCACTGTCAGTTCTTACAATTAATTTTTAAATATATATTCAGAATAGAGAGTTTCTTCAGCTCTGTTCAGGCAGAACTTTTTTAAAACCACAAGCATTTTATCTAGAAACAGGAAGACCTGGTGCAGAAATGTAATTGCTAAACAAATACAACAATTTAATAAATAGAAACCAGTAGTTATTATATAGTTTAATTTAATAGTTATAACTATTAAAGACTGGGTTTACTATACATGTACTCATATTACACAGCTTAAGATCAACGAGCTAAAGTTACCAACATTTACACATGGCTTTAGAAGAAGCTCATTAAAAACCTCTATCAGAAACATTGAACAAGCTAAGATTAATCTTATTTATCTATCTCCTTCTAGTGGCAGAACATGAAATCAGACACTCAAACACTGATTTCTGTTATTTTCTAAAACTTTTAAATACAGCAGCCCACACTAAGCAACTGATACAAACTATTTTAAAATATCTGATAATTAGCACTTGTAATATACCAAACATCTGCTCCAGTTATCCCCTGCAGTCAAAATTCAAGCCTTTGCAATTTGCCTGACAAAAAGACAACTTGCCCCAGCATCTTCTTCTGTGTTTAGAACTAACCCAAATTTATAGGCTGTTCTTACCACAGCAGTACACAATAGCCTAAAACAAGGTTTAAGAAAAAAATAATTAGAAACATGAAGCTTGACAGCAAATGAGATCAATGCTGGATTCCCAAAGAAAAATCGTGCTAAACTTATTCGGTAAGTTTAAGATCAGTGATTTTTCTAGGAAAAGGACAAACGCATTAGATCACACATACCTGGGTATTATTAAACACTTGGTATGGTGCTACACTGACATTTATGTTTATCTTATATAAGATGGAGGTTAAGTAGAGGCCGGAAGAAATTCTATGTTGAACTCCCTTGGGATCAGTTTTTATTTAACATTTTAATTAATAACTTTGACACAACAAGTAGGAAGACACTTTTGCTACAAAATCAGAAACATAGCATACAGAAGGAGAACAAGGGAGAATTACATTACAAAACCAGTGTGAAACTGAGGATTCTGAAGTGCAACGTCCTGCACTTACAAAGAAATAAACCAACGCGTTATCTCAGCAAGCCTTGTCAGACGGAAACCGGGCAGGCACGTATCCAAACCTGACAAGGTAACCAGAAAGCATCAGGCACGGGACATGAAAGCATCAAACACAATTTAACCATGCGCAAAGCAAATATTCCCCTTTCTTTCACTGAAGCAGCGTCTGGCAAGACTTAATGTGCACGTAAGGCTAGCGCACAGGCAGGGAGACGAGTGACAGAGACGGGCTGCGAGGGTGAAAGGAGTGGAACCGGGGCTCCTTGCCCAACCCGGCAAACCAGGACTGAGCAACGCGGCG